AAAAAACGAAAGAAAATCAACATACTAATACATATTTTTTTAATCCTACCTAAGAAACAGCCAAAGAAAAATTGAACACCCTTAACAGCGACAAATATGACATATTGTTATGTCCGTGTATTGTTTAATATATTGTAATGTAATTGTCATCTTATGTAAGCCGATTGGATTAGATTGGATTAAAAAAATATGTATCAATATGGTGATTTTCTTTCGTCTTTTAATGATAATGTTATTAAAGTTTATCAGACGAATTTACATAAATAAATAAATAAAACTTGTCTATATTATTTCATGAAATAAGCATCAGTATATATATATATATATATATATATATATATATATATATATATATATATATATAACCCAAATAAACGACTTCCGGTAAAATAACCGCCAAAATAGACTAGCCAAAATGCACTACTGACCCCTATTTATAAATAGCCGAGAAAAATAACAGCATGAAACAGACTGTCGCCTCTAAGTGTTGACTTCTATGTTCACTTTTATATTTACACATGCTCTATCTCTGATATTGAGCACTTTATCCTATAAATATAGCATATATATATATATATATCTTCATATATATATATATATATATATATATATATATATATATATATATATATATATATATATGGAGAAAATATACTGAAAAAACAAAAAAAATCCTAATATGCGATTATGCAGTTTTAATGTTTAATGTCAATGTCGGATAGTTGTACACACAACTAAAGCTGATCATAATTTCGATTTTGATTCTGTGAAGATTTTAAAATATTTTCATAATAAAAATCTTAGGCGGATTTATGAGGCGGGCATAATATCTATCTCACGCACGGTGAACACTAGACCTGGCTTCTTTAATATTTCCCCTTTTCTAGCAAGATTAATGCTCGACAAACGTACATATAAGTTTTAGATCAAAATAAAATTCTTTTCGTTTTTCATTCAAAATACTCAAATTTTAGGAATACGTTTTCACAACATCGCCCACGTGACGACGACGTGATCATATTTAAACGGGACGCTGATCTTATAAAATATTTCAGTTATCTGTTTGGATTGGTCTTGCTTTTAGGTCCATCGGCTTTTTCATGTTGAATTGTATGTGGTCTATGTTAATTATGTTTTATGAATATGTCCTGAAGATGGTCTATTAGACCGAAACGTCCGACGTTGACATTAAACATTAAAACAGCATAATCGCATATTAGGATATTTGTTTGTTTTTTTCAGTATATTTTTCTTCATACTGTCGGATCTATATACATATATTTGCTTATATATATATATATATATATATATATATATATATATATATATATATATATATATATATATATATATATATATATAAGGGGGGGATTTTATAGACAGTTGCTATCATTTTCTTTAAGGACTTCCTTGTTGCTTACTCGCTCCATCCATGGAATTTTTACTATCCTTCTGGAGAATCACGTTTCTGCTGCCTCTAGTTTTTTTTTTTTTTGCACGGGGAGATTGTCCAGTATGTATAACACATAGCAATCTAGCACTTTTCTCTTTTTTTGCTGACGATATTCACTCGTTTCTTAGCAGCTTACTGCAATAATTCTTTTTCTAGTCGAATACGCGTTCGGATCTCGGTGTCACATTTTTCATCCTTTGCTTAAACACTTTCCAGATATTTAAACATCTGTAATTGCTTGTTTGGTTTCGTCTGGTTTGTCTAACGGCATATCAATTCCTTTGTGAATCATTTAACGCCAAAATTTAATTTTTGAGACAGTTTTGTTAATTTAAAAAACATGTATTCGAACTATTGTCCTTATCTTTGTCGCCATATTTATTACAACGTTTCGGCCGTTGTACGCTCCGGCCTTCTTCAGCTGGTTGGAATGTCGAACTGAGCCCTTTATTTCGCTCACTGGGGTAGACTGTTCTAGTTCCACGTGCCGTGTTTAATGGATGTCAGTTATCAGTTATCTCCTGTCAACTCCCCTCTCCAAGTTCTCCACTGCCTTAACCGGGTATTGAACTCACACTCTTTGGGTCCTGTCCCTGGATCTAACCAACGCCTCTATCCACTGTGCCATTACATAATACCTCGTCCCAGAAATATAGACAGATACTGAAAAAATGTATTGTTTGTAATTTTTCTCTTCCATTTTAAATACAGTAGGATCCCTCATATCTGGAATATCCTCCTATCCGGAATCCCGCATATCCGGACATGATTTTGATGTGTATATTTGAACTATTTCGGTGATATGTAACTGATATGAAATTTCTGTTTTTCAGGAAATTTATTTGGATAATTGCTTATGCTTATTTCATCCCAATGGTTTGTATTGACGCAAAAGATGATGGGAATAAGAGGAAAAGAACAACTTTGGAGTTATCGCAAAAAGTGGAAATTTTAAACAGACTAGCCGCTGTTGAAAGTTCATTGTAACTAATGGCTGAGTTCAACATACGAAAGTCAACATTGTATGATACAAAATCTTCCAAAGAAACTATTCTCTGGCGTTCACACTGTCACAATAAACAAGGAAATAAAAACATGATTGTGATGAATCCTGGACTGAAATTGAAAAAGCTATGGAAAAGATTGTCAGTTTTAGGGTAAGAAAGCCACCATTCAGCTATAACGATTTCAATAACGAACGCAGAGCTAAAAAGTGTCTTTCGTTTAAAAAGTTTCAAGAACAAAAACAAAAGGAAATGCGGAAAAAGTTGAGAATGCCATTAGAAGAGAAAGAATCATCATGCAACAGCGATTAAAAAAATCCTCCTTACATTATTTGTTTTGCATACGTGGCATACTTAATTGAATATATTTTCATTAACATTACATAATTTATTCATTTCCTTAAAATCAATTACGTTATATTTCACTCACCATTAGCTTATTTTATTTTACTATAAAACATTGAAAACAAATGTTAAACCTGATTTCAGTTCTTTTATTTTAATCTAAATATAACGCCGCATATCCGGACTTTGTAACTAATTTCTCATATCCGGAATCCCTCATATCCAGAATCCCTCATATCCGGACTTTGTAACCAATTCCTCATATCCGGAAGGCCTTCTTAGTCCGGTTGTCAGAAATTTTACTGTAATTGGTAATTTTGTTTTTAATATGAAAATGTATTACTAATATACTTACTACAAAATTATTTTTATACTTTCATAATGTTTTGACCTTGGTTTTGGGGGTTCACTATTTGACCAGAGCTGGGACCCTAACAGGTGCTACTACCCTGGGTCAGAGTAGACCTGGGAACAACAGCAAACAAAAAGTTGTTCCACAAAACGTCCAATCTCCCGATCTAGAATAACAGGAATGTTTTATTTTCCAAACACGGTCAGCATATTTTGGCTGTGTTCATAGTTGATATTATTGAGTGTTGGCTTTTCATTTTCTTTTTATTAAAAATGCTTCCATTATTTTCAATCATTTTTTCACTTACTCTAGATACATATATAGACGTATACTTGTCGTAGTGTATCATAATATATACAGTAATTCTTGATCATTGAGAATGTTTACCATTTTGTTATATTCGCTGGGTTTTCAGATATACTAGTCACCGGCGGTCGAGGCATCAGCATTCACACTGTTAAAGTCTGCGGAAAAAAGCCTCTTAGGGAACCTGGATGGTACACAACCACATGATTGTATTGCCGCATAGTCACTCTAAGATTACATGCTTCTGCAATCTTCATTGAATACTTCTTGGTCCATGTTCCAAGCCATTATTCAAACAACTTGAAGACAAGTATAAACTAACAGTTGGTTGGTTGGTTTTGTTTCAGCGACATATCAGCCACTATGGGATATTTAATACCGAAATCTAAATATTTTGAACACAATTATATGGCTGCGACTAAATATATTTTGAACGCAATTGTATGCCTTCAACTACAGATAAAATCTCTCGATAGTCATTGCTATATACCGTACCTATGAATACTAATGGGTATGTCCCAATCCTCATAAATACGTTGGACACTATTGTAAGTGGGGGTAATATGCTGTCTAAGTAGTTCACCAGGGGTTTACCTACTTCACGACGCTGGCGAGTATTTTGTTGATTGCCATTTCATTTCCAACCTCCGTTTTGGTTATTCCTCATTCATTAACCCTTTCTAGGTTACAACAAATAGATAGATAGATAGATAGATAGTGAACTGAGACAGTGTTATATATTGATATTTCCGGTTGTCACTCTAGACTAGTTTTTGTATAAGTAGTTTTTAAAAAAAATCCCTGTTTGTAACACTATAGCCTATAAATGTAAAATTAGTTATCGATAAATGTTTGAAATATTGATGAGAAAGCCATGACGGGAAAAGTTCTGTTAAACAGCGTAAAGCGAGGAACGGCTGACGCCATTTTATCGACATGTTCGTGTTAAAATGAAAGGTGGCGAGGAAACAAGACTGATTTAACGTATGAAACAGGCGAGAATCCTGGCTTCACTTATCGTCTGCTTCAATGCGTTTCTCCATCGTTTCCCGCCATGGTTTGGCGGTTATATCATCCGATTCACTCGGGCATATGAATTTTTAAAGCCTCAATATCTGTCTCTGTCGTAGGCTTACAGAGTAAAATTTACTATGAAAACATGAAAGGGTTGAACACAAAGGTGTGATAACCATTCTCAGGTTTCTTTCCTTTCTTCGTATCTTTGTTTCCATTGGAATTATTATTACTTATTCAGATAAATAATGTTGACTGAGTTTGGTTTGGACATTACAAGGACAAATAGAAAGAGGCGGAACAAGGTTATACTACAAAATTATTCAAAGTTAGAAAAAGACGTGATCACACGTCAATGGGATGCTTAGGTGGATGAGCGTAACCAACCGATATTACAATTGGTCTAGTCGAAGAAGAAAGAGGAAGGTTTTTGCGGAGCATATGGTTGTTGGAATTCTAGAAAATGATAATATAATGTCATATTGGATGTAAATTATTTTGTTATAACGAACTGTATATTGCCCAAATGTCCATCGTCATCCTCCTCCTCCTCCTCATCATCATCTTCGTTGTGCTTCACGGTTTCTTCTTCGTCTTTGAGCCTCACGGCTTCTTCTTCTTCTTCTTCTTCTTCTTCTTCTTCTTCTCTTTATTATTCATGGCCTTCCTATTATTATTATTTTTTCTTTTCATTATTTTTTTCATTTTTTACATCTTTGTGGTCCATTGCTTATTTTTTGTTGTTGGTTTTTTGTTCTTTTCTTTCTTCTTCTTTTTCTTCTATTTTGTGCTTCATGGCTTCTTTTTCATCTTTTTATCTATACTTCATTACATCTTCTCTGTGCTCCACTGCTTATTTTTTGTTGTTGTTGTTGTTGTTGTTGTTCTTCTTCTTCTTCTTCTTCTTCTTCTTCTTCTTCTGTGCTTCATGGCCTATTATTATTATTATTATTATTATTATTATTATTATTATTATTCTTTGTGATTCACGGTTTCTTCACCTTTTTCATCTTTTTTCTTCTATTTTGTGCTTCATCGCTTCTTTTTCATCTTCTTTTCCGTACTTCATTGCATCTTCTTCTTCTTAGTGCTCCACTGTTTCTTGTTGTTGTTGTTGTTGTTGTTGTTGTTCTTGTTCTTCTTCTTCTTCTTCTTCTTCTTCTTCTTCTTCTTCGCATTTGTGGTTAACACAGGGGTGTGCAAACTTTTCAGTGCAAGGGCCACAAAAAAATTCACAATTTTATTGGGTCGCATAGTATATTAACCCAAAATAATATTTAAAATCGACAAAAAAAAAACGGCTTTTAAAGAAAAAAAAAATACAATTAATTTTTTATTATTTAATATTTTAAAGTACTGTAAAGGATTTACATGAAACGCATTTATTTGAAAGACAAAGTAAATCTGTTTAAAGTATTTTAAAAGAAAAAATATTAATTTGTATTTTTAAGTTGAAGATTTACATGAAACACATTTGAAAGATCAAATGACCTTGTTTTAAGAAAAAATGTTTTTATTAATTGATATTAGAAAGTAGAAAAATATTTATTTGAAAAACAAATTAACTCTGCATAAATGAATCAAAACAATTCTTATTTTAAAGTTGAAACTTCAATTAAAACACATATAAAATAACAAAATTTAAAGAAAAAATGAATTTAGATTTTAAAGTAGAAAATTCACATGATTTGTTTTAAAACATATTAATTCAGGTTAAATAAAAAAATTATTGATATTTTGAAGTAGAAATTACACATGAAGCAGATTTATTTGTAAACCAAAGTAACTCAGCAACAGAAGAATCTCAATGACTGAATGGCAATAATGTATTTGACTGCAGTCATTTATCAGTTTGTTAAAATTAAGCGTCAAATTGCTTGTAACAATTATTTGACGTTGCCTGGTAACTTTCTCTTTCTTATTTACTAACATTTGGCGGGCTGTATGTGGCCCGCGGGGCGTAGTTTGCCCAGCCCTGGGTTAATAGCTTCTTCTTTTTCCTTGTGCTTCATAGTTCCTTGCTCTGCTTATTTTCCTTGTGATTCACTGTTTCTTCTTTTTTTTTTCTTCTTTTTTTTTCTTCTTTTTTTTCTTCTTTTTTTCTGCTTCACGGCTACTAATTTTTTATTGCACTTCACGATTTTTTCTTTTTCATTTTTTCTTCTTCCTTATTCTTCAAGGCTTCTTTTTCTTCTTCTTCTTCTTCTTCAAGCGTTCTTTTTTCTTCTTCTATTTCTTCCTTCTTCTTCAAGGCTTTTTCTTTTTCTTCTTCTTTTTCTTCCCTCTTCTTCAAGGCTTCTTCTTTTTCTTCTTCTTCTTCCTTCTTCTTCAAGCCTTCTTTTTCTTCTTCTTCTTCTTCAAGGCTTTTCCTTTTTCTTCTTCTTCCTTCTTCTTCAAGGCTTTTTCTTCTTCTTCTTTCTTCTTCAAGGCTTTTTCTTTCTTCTTCTTCTTCTTCTTCTTCTTCTTCTTCTTCAAATCTACTTTTTTCTTCTTCTTCCTTCTTCCCAAATGCTTCTTTTTTCTTCTTCTTCCTTCTTCCTAAAGGCTTCTTCTTTTTCTTTTTCTTCTTCCTCCTTCTTCTTCAAGGCTTTTTTTTATTCTTCTTCCCTCTTCTTCAAGGCTTTCTTCTTCTTCCTTCTTCTTCAAGGCTTTTTTTATTCTTCTTCCCTCTTCTTTAAGGCTTTCTCTTTTTCTTCTTCTTCCTTCTTCGTCAAGCCTTCTGCCTTTTCTTCTTCTTCTTCCTTCTTCTTCAAGGCTTTTTTATTCATCTTCCCTCTTCTTCAAGGCTTTCTTCTTCTTCTTTCTTCTTCAAGGCTTTTTTTATTCTTCTTCCCTCTTCTTTAAGGCTTTCTCTTTTTCTTCCTTCTTCTTCAAGGGTTTTTTATACATATTCCCCCTTCTACAAGATTTTCTTCTTCTTTTTCATTGTTCTTCAAGGCTTCTTCTTTTTCTTCTTCTTTTTCATTGTTCTTCAAGGCTTCTTCTTCTTTTTCATTGTTCTTCAAGGCTTCTTCTTTTTCTTCTTCTTTTTCATTGTTCTTCAAGGCTTCTTCTTTTTCTTCTTCTTTTTCATTGTTCTTCAAGGCTTCTTCTTTTTCTTCTTTTTCATTGTTCTTCAAGGCTTCTTCTTTTTCCTCGATGCGCTTCAAGCTTTCTTTTTTTTTTCTTCTTGGCTGCATCTTCTTTGTTGTTGCATTTGTTGTTCTTCTTCCCCATTTCATCTCTTTCATATTTTGAAACCTTATTCTTTCTTCTTCAGCACTCATGCTCTGTACTGCCATTTACACGCAAATGACCTTGTAAATGCTATGAATCCTTTTCCTCCCCTACTGTGGGTTAAATAGTACAACTATGTTTTTTTTTTCATTGTTACTTTCAAAAAATTGTTATCTCAATTCATTCATTCATTTATTCAGTCAGCGCATTTAGCGCCGCCGCTGCGATCACCACTAACCTCCATCTCACAATTGTGGTTCAATGGTGACACTCAAGGCGGAATAGTGCAGTAGCTTGCCGGTTCCATTTGCACCGGGGACGTTAAGGTAACCCCGTCCATCCTCTCAGAAGTTAAAGAGGCAAGAACAACAAGGCAGCAGGTGATTTGAATTCAGAGTTCTCTTTGACAGTCGCGGTTATATTCAATATTCACCCGTAAAAATTATTCTTGCTATCCAAAATATGCTGCGGCTTAAAATAATTTACATCAGGTTGATAAACAGTAAAAAAAAGAAACAATTAAAAACATAATAATCAAATTAATTCTTAAAGTCTTCTACGATCATTCTTTTAGTTTTTCAATGTCTTTAATGAGATTTTTTGCTTTCTGTAGTAACTTTCCAAGCGTTGCTCAGATTTGGCACAAGGCCGAAAGTATGGGGCACCCATTGAGGATCGAACTCACTACTCAGTCGTAATTGTTCTAGTGAGACAAGGTTGTTAACCATTACACCGCCTCGGGTTGCCTTGTTTTCTATATATCATAAACTTTAGCCATTGACTGAATAAATTTTCCCCTTAAAAACTGAGAGACGCTAACGTTGATTGAAGTTCTCTAGTAAAATAATTTACAATACAAAACCTTATGAGAAAAATCTACCGCCGTTCATTGAATAAAGTGTTTCCTTCAAAATTCTGAGAAGTTTTTTTTAAGAGGCCACAATAGTGGAAACGGAGATGACGGAGTTTAGAAGCGTTTATGCGGCCTTTTGGGTGATGATTTATTTCACACCCTACAACACTTCAGATCTTCACAGCTAGGACCTGCCATGTTACATACACAGAATCGACACACCCTCACTCTATTTGTATTCCATTTGTTAGGAGAGAGTTACACTCGGTCTGATTTTTTCCTAAGAACTGTTACTTTGTGGGACAGACTCCCGAGGCGATGCTTCCTGCAATTAATACAATCTTAATCTCTTTTAGTCAAGGATCAACCGTTATTTAACCTACACATACTCATTTCTTACTTCTCCCCTCTACGTTGTTTCTGCGACCTCATTCACTAACGCTCTAACTTGAATGCCTCTTGAAAATTTTACTGGGTGAAAAAAATAGTATAAATTTTACAAGGCCCAAGAGCCACCCGAGATAGAGGGTTACAGAGTAAGAGGCACCACTACAAGCAAGGTGATAATGTAACCAAGACGCAAGGAGCCACCGGTAATGAAAGAGAAGGAAAATGCTTTAGAAGGAATCGGAAAACCAATCCTAAACAGGAAACAAGGGATAAACCTCTACTCCTGTTCAAAAGACCGGGAAGAAGTGTGAACGGAAAAAAATAATAAGTAATAAATTTTCTTTCGGGGTTTCAGGCGGAGAATAGCATAGAATTGAAGCTGACTCAAGAAAGAACCGGAAACCCAATCCTAAACAGGAAACAAGGCCCCTTTGTCGTCGGAGGGCTGTAAACTATCTACAGTTTTTCAACCTCGCAAAATTCCTTGGGGATACCATATTTCATTGGGAGAGGGCAGGTGGTAGGGCTACTTGGAACATGTCATGTGCTGAGAAAAGTGTTGTGTCCCAAACCTTCGGGTAGTAGCTGAGATATGATCTTCGTCAGTCGGCCGAAACATCTAAGAGTCGGGGACGATCTCAATTATGAAAATAATAATTATTATAAAATCCTTCCGAACAGGTAGGCCCCTAGAGGTAGTTATTAACGGCCAGTCCTCCGGGGCCCTGGCTGTCAACGCAGGCGTCCCCAGGGGTCACTTCTCGGACCAACCCTGTTTTTTTGGCTTTACATAAAGGATCTGCCTAAGAATATACTCAGATCATTTGTGAACATCTATGCCGATGATACGACGATAGACGCGCACCTCTAAAACCCTTAAGGATCAGATATTATCAGCTGACCTCTCTTTCAATCAAGTACTAACATCTCAGTTGGTGAAAAACTGGCTGGCTACATTCAATGTCTCGAAAATCAAACTAGTTGAATTTCATCATTGCCGATCGGACCCCGAACTACCATCAGTCTCGATAAATGGAATAGATGAAGGAAAAAAATAATCGGCTTTCTGTACTGCTCCAGTAAGTACCCGACTTCGAAAGCCATATTCTACTTTTACAAGAACTAGATCAGTACTGTTGTCATATTTTGACGGGAGTTTCCCAGTCCTGACTCTCCAGGCTTGATAGAGTTCAAAAGCGTCTGCGAGTCTTTGTGGGTGATGAATTAAATGGGTATCCCCTCGGGGAGGCTCTGTGCCTTGAGAATCTATTGTGCCTCAACACAAACCTCAAGTGGAACTTGTACATACGACCCATCGCTAAAGATGCAGGAAAAATAGTCGGCTTTCTGTACCGCCTCAGTAAGTATCCGACTCCGAATGCCGTCTTCTACTTTTAAAAGAACTAGATCAGTACTGTTGTCATATTTTGATGAGAGGTACCCAGTCCTCACTCTCCAGTCTCGATAGAGTTCAAAAGCTTCTTCGAGTCCTTATGGGTGATGAATTATTTTCTACTGTCCATCTCTCTCTCACTGGCGGGATGTGGCAAGCCGTTCGGAGGAACTTCAAAGATGAAGAAGAGATTCGAGACAACGGTGATATTGTTCTACAAAAGGATGCTAAGGATATCATGAACCGAGTGTGCGAGCAATGATGAGGTTTTGGAGAGGATGCAAACAAGATGGAAGCTTATGCTTAACAACAGAAAGAAGCAGCTGAAAAATTCTAGGACACGAAATGAGAAAGGAGGACATGGAGAATCTGATACTCACAGGTCGAATAGAGGGAAAGAGAAACAAAGGTAAGTAACGCACGACATACATAGCGGGCTTAGGAAAGTGGATGACAGAATTAGCCCAGGGGAAGTAGCAAAGGGACAAAACTTATTGAGAGCTACAAGGGATAGAGGAAGTGGAGAGCCATAATCGCCTACGTCCCGACACTTAAAAGAAAGAAGTAACGAACGATCCTGCTGTAATATAGAGTGTGACAGAAATAGTTCCCATATAATGGTAAAACATTAGCCAGATGAAGGCAGCATTTGCAGCTGATGTCTTACCATCATGTGAGTGGTATTTCTGCTGAACCTTGAATAATCATTTTCTACTGGGCAGCAAATTTACCCTTCGCAAAAGTCTGGATTAGCGTACCAGTGAGAGTTATTATCTTCAAGATCAGGCACGAACTTTAATTTTTTTAAATGACAAATGTCAATAATAATTTTGAATCTATCCAGTAGAAAAAAAAAGTTGATTGATTATCGATCAGTGGCTCACTAATCAAATTTGCCTACGTTCATTTGATATCGGAATATCTAAATTGATGTCGGATTTTTATGCTGCAAAATCTTTACTGTCCATCAGAGATATAATCATACAATTGTCAGATTAGAAAAAAATGAATGAATCATATATATATATATATATATATATGTTAAGAAATGGACAAGGTCCGACAATTTATTTATTAAAGACATTTTTATTTATGTTTAACGTTGTTATTTATAATTCATGGTGGCCGAGTGGTTAAGGCATGTCAGCGTATATGACAGTTCCGTATAGGATGCAGGTTCGAATCCTGTCTATGAACGAATATTTTCTATGAAAATTTCTCGGACATTCAGGCCGGTAAATGTTATTTAATACTGTTTATCTTAAACAGAGCATTTGCTTAAATACTTGTATCTTTTAAATAACAACGTTAAACATAAATAAAAATGTCTTTCATAAATATATATATATATATATATATATTGTATTTAGGCAGCAATCCTTCTTTCATACAAGCTTCATTAAATATGACAGACAAGGTGATTTGATTAAGTTTTTATATATTTTCTCATATGATCTTATAATTTTTTTTTACTGGAAAGAAAAATTATAATATAATTAGAAATTATATAAAAATTTAATCAAAGCATCATGTCTGTCATATTCTATGAACGTTGCACACACACACACACACACACACATATATGTGTGTGTGTGTGTGTGTGTGTGTGTGAATATATGTATTAATAAAAAATTATTGGTAATCCATATGGAATTTTCAAGATGATATAAGGAAAACATATGCCTGACGATGAATAAAGGATTATTCGAAAGTACTTGCATTTTAAAAAAATATAAACTGGAAACAACAGACATCAGTTTTATGAATGAGGATCACATCACTCTATGGATTAACAGTATTTTAATGCATACATTATACAGTACTAGCGATGGATGTCGCCAATAATACCATTAATATTACTGATTGATTCTATGTGTCATTATTTCTTTGTATATATATATATATATATATATAATTTACCAGTAAAAAATTTGTTCATCACCATATTTTGTATGAACGCACAAACTTTAAAAATTTAAAATCAAACTCAGC